GTCCCAGGGGGGAGTCCCCCCCCCCCCCCCAGGGGGGGGGGGGACCCTGGCTCAGATCCCCCCCACCCCACACGGGGGTCTTGGGGCCGTGGGAGGCCCCAGGATACCTCAAGAGGGGGGGCTGTGAGAGGAGCCGGGCCACCCCCCAGGCCCCCTTGCAGAGGGGCCAGGCTGGGGGGTACAGGGTCCCCTCAAATCCCCCCTTTTCTCCTCAGAGGGGCCCATGGCTCCTCCATGGCAAGGGGGATCCCTTTCCCTTCACAAAACAGCCCACGACCCCCTCAGACCACCTCCATTCGTCCTCACAAAACGACCCCAGACCCTCCTTTCCCCTCATGGAGGGGCCCAGGACCCCCTCAGATCCCCTTTTTACCTCACAAAATTACCCAGGACCCCCTCAGACCCCCTTTTTACCTCACAAAATTACCCAGGACCCCCTCAAACCCACCTTTCCCCTCACAAAATGGCCCAGGACCCCCTCAGACCCACCTTTCCCCTCACAAAATTACCCAGGACCCCCTCAGACCCCCTTTTTACCTCACAAAATTACCCAGGACCCCCTCAAACCCACCTTTCCCCTCACAAAATGGCCCAGGACCCCCTCAGACCCACCTTTCCCCTCACAAAATTACCCAGGACCCCCTCAGACCCCCTTTTTACCTCACAAAATTACCCAGGACCCCCTCAAACCCACCTTTCCCCTCACAAAATGGCCCAGGACCCCCTCAGACCCACCTTTCCCCTCACAAAATTACCCAGGACCCCCTCAGACCCCCTTTTTACCTCACAAAATTACCCAGGACCCCCTCAAACCCACCTTTCCCCTCACAAAATGGCCCAGGACCCCCTCAGACCCACCTTTCCCCTCACAAAATTACCCAGGACCCCCTCAGACCCCCTTTTTACCTCACAAAATTACCCAGGACCCCCTCAAACCCACCTTTCCCCTCACAAAATGGCCCAGGACCCCCTCAGACCCACCTTTCCCCTCACAAAATTACCCAGGACCCCCTCAGACCCCCTTTTTACCTCACAAAATTACCCAGGACCCCCTCAAACCCACCTTTCCCCTCACAAAATGGCCCAGGACCCCCTCAGACCCACCTTTCCCCTCACAAAATTACCCAGGACCCCCTCAGACCCCCTTTTTACCTCACAAAATTACCCAGGACCCCCTCAAACCCACCTTTCCCCTCACAAAATGGCCCAGGACCCCCTCAGACCCACCTTTCCCCTCACAAAATTACCCAGGAC